CAAAGTCATTAGTTTTTATGTCTGTACCTTTCCACAAGCAAGTTTGGTACCGAGGTTTATTTTGATGTCTCTTGCAAAATTTTCCCGAAACTCTGATGATGTGCGGCCATCTCACCTAAAGCAGAACTTCCTATCATTTAGCTGACACCTTGTCAAAACATTTTTGTAATAACGAAGCAAAGTTAAAATGACTGATCGATTCCAAGGCTTTTCCATAATAGTACAAACGATGGTATCCATCCTATCCCGGCTAACCGTAAATCGCGCTGAATCAGGCGCAACCCCCGATTTTGTTTTATCACCAATATCGCTACTAAGATGCACTGTAGAATTTTTCAAGAAATGGAATCGTTAGGAAGTTTGTAAATAAGCTGAAGAGAAGTTGTGTGGAGAAAGAGGGCTAGATTTGGAGAAGAATAGTTGTAAGAAAACGAAAAATGATAGGTAATGAAGTTAATACGATTAAAGTAGAAGAGTGCGAAGGATTCTGATTGATTCCTTCAATCTTGCGTTCTCGAAGCGAACGCAACTGACAGTAAACGGAAGTCACGAAATCCACAGGATCTCACGGAGGTGGCTGATTATGAATGGTGCATCTCTGGGCTATATGAATATGAATAATGTAAAATAGACCGTTAACAAATTTTCTCTCTCATCTATTGCTCATAGTAAGGTTATGATTCCTTATGCCACAACGTTGAGATCATAGTGTACGTGGCATTTGCAGTTAATAGGCATGATCGACTAATTGAACCTTTGTGTTGAATTATGCGACGCAAAAGACGTATCCCTGCAATTCTTCCTTGCTCATGTCAGCGTTTCCCTCACTTACGCCTGTTTTTCATAGTGAATCATGCACTGTTGCTGGCCATCCGTTAAATCCCATACTTTCAAAAGCCGAAACAGTTTTTGCGGTTGTAGTCGAGGGATAATTGAACAAGCTGTGTGCCGAAATTGCTGCAAAGAATTGTTACTGGTTGACTAGCCTCGTCATGTGACCTTTTCTCGCGTTGCACTATATGAAAGCGGCGCACAGAAAATAGCACCACTAATCCTGACTTCCTGCTGTGAGTCACCAGTTATTCACTTACCCTGTCTTCACATTTTAGCAATTGTTACTTGATGACAGCGTAGCCCTATATTCGACTCTGCCCTGACTTTTCCGTCGAATTGGATACCAACTCATCGAATTATTCATCTAAATCCATTTTTCCATTTCAACTCAAAAATGGCTCCAATTAATCGTACAGATGCTGCATTACAGGCCTAAGTTCAATAAAGACTCATCCCTCAGCCAAGTGAGTTACGTTCTATTTTACTTTTTACATTTGTGAGCGAATCTTCTTCGCTGCGTTGGTGCAAGGCTTTATTTTAAAGTGGGAAAGTTTGGTCATTAGAGGTTTATGTGCTGCATGCATGTGCGAACCATGGATACATCTGACAAAACGTTTCATGAATATGCCTATTCCTATCCCTCATGTAATTCGCGGGGAACCAATTAAGACATCATTTGCATGATATCGCCCTCTTTTCTTTAGTATATATTTAGAGGCGAGAGGAATATTACCTCACAACAAGCGTCATAATCTTGCTCCCTCATCGGACTTTCTGAAACAATCCAACAACCGTCGAGACGAATAAACGATATGCGATATATCATGACATGGGATGCAAAGGATAAGGCGATTCGGAGGATGAACTGCAAACGGAAGCTGTAGTGTTGGACAAACTAACAAAGTGCTCTTGAGCCAGTGAAACTCAACCTACAGGTCGTTTGTAATTGTCTATTTCCTAACATCCCTGCCGTTTTTCGTCTAATTTCCGTGAAGCTACACCAATGGTAGTTGAAAGGAAATTCGGCATTGTATCATTTTTTGCTGTGCTCTCATTAGGTAAGGGAATTTCGCATTTAACTAATACTTTGAAAAATATTCAACAATTGAGATCAATCAAAATATTGCAAAGACTGATCCTGGGTTCCATAACTGACCAAATGAACATATCATCGGTTGATGGGATGGATTACGCAGTTCTTAAAATTTGGCTATAATTTTCATTTGGTATGTATTTAAACGCGGGTCATCAAATTAGTTAAACATGCAAGTAAGAAGCAACTTGTCAGCTTTGTCAACGATGAAGAAAGACTCTGTGGGACGTATTTTCTGCTTAATGCACTCCAATCTTCCTATGAATCATTCACTAGTCACAGCCGAAAAACTGAAGTTAAAAAAGATAGCTATGATTATCTGAGCAGGTGTCCGCAGATTACTTGAGGCATCCGAAGATCTATAACCAGACAGCAGTTCTGATAACCCAATGCATAAATAACGCACTTTGCCGTTGATTGCCCTGGTATTTGGCACACACTGAGATCGTTTTCACCATAAGGTCGAAACCTCATTAGCGAGGGCCATGAATCAGAAAAGGGTTAGAATTATCTAGTGCAGCAGAATGAAACCTCAATACGCATTCTTTTTTGTGGAGAGCAGCTCTATTGGCTAACAAAATCGGCTTTGTCAATTCGACTTAACGGCTGCTTACCCCAGCATGCGACCCTCGCTCGTAGAAAGACGTCGGCAAAACTTGCACTGAAATAAGAGGAGCGCTATTTTCAAAGAAAACGTACATGAAGCGATGTGTCAATGAATAAAGACAAAAGAAGGTAACTGGAACACAATCCGCGAAAATCACAGAACCATCGTTCTAATTCCGTGTGGGAAACGCATTTTACAACAAAGGTGGCAGTTTTTTAATAGACTTTTTCTCATTTTCGCAAACATATTTTAGCCGATGCGTCGGAGATCTTTCCCATCACGTGTCATGCACATAAAATGGGTAAAGTGTATGCAAAAGACCTCGACTGACAACAAAAGGTGGGAAACGACAAGGGCAAAAAAGAACCTGACTCAACTGAGCATCATTCTTTCCTGATCACAAGGAGTATAGCAAGGACCTTGAAGCAATATAACCGGATGATAGTGATACACGAT